GACAATGTACTACGCTGCAGCTATAGTGGGAAATGGCTTGTCAGTTCCTCACAAATTAAACAAAGAGTTACATACAGCTCAGCAGGTTCACTTCTGAGTACTAACCCAAAGAATCAAAAACAGGGATTTCAACAATAACTTGTACGTGAATGTGCACAGCAGCACTATTCACAACAGTTAAGAGGTGGAATCAACCCAAATGTCCATCCACTGATGAATGGATGAACAAAGTGCAGGGAGGTCATAAAACGGAATATTAATTGACCACACGAAGAAATGATCCATGCTACAATGCGGGTACACCTAGAGAACATCACGACAACGGATCGAATCCAGCCACAAAAGACCACGTATATCATTCCACCTGTCATCTACTTGCAGTGTCCCGAACAGGCAAATCTGTGCTTAGAAAGTAGGATAGTGGTCGCTCAGGGGCAAGGGGCATGCGAGGTGACAAGTAAAAGGTACAGGGTTTCTGAGTGGACAAAAATGTTCTACAGTTGACTGCGGTAATGGTTGCACATATCTTTGAATGTAATAATAGCCATTTTTTCAGTTTTTTGAGCCATAACTGACACTCTGTACTGTGTTAGTTTAAGGTGTACAGCATAATGACAATGCATATATTGTGAAATGATTAAGATCATAAGTTTAGTTAATCTGGTGGTGGCTCACAGCAAAAGAGAATGAGACAATGAATATATGTATGTTCATGTATAACCGAAAAACTGCGCTCTACACTGGAAGTTGATAAAACATTGTAAAATGACTATAACTCAATAAAAAATGTTAAATAAGCTAAAAAAATAAGTTTAGTTAACATTCATTATCTCACATAGTCATAAAAAATGTTCTTTTTCCCTTGTGTTGAGAACTTTTAGGCTCTATGCTCTTAGCAACATAACACAACACAGAGCAGGGTTAGCCATATTGTATGTTATACCATCAACAATTATTTATGTTACAACTGAAAGTTTGTACCTTTTGGCCACTGTTATTCAATTCTCCCACTACCCAACCCCCACTTCTGATAACCAAAAATTTGAAATAGTTTTTGTATGAGGTTGGATTTCTTTTTTTTGATTCTACATTTAAGTATTTATCTTCCTCTATCTCACCTATTTCACGTATCATAATGCCTTCAAGGGCTATCCACATCATGCAAAATCTGGATTTCCTTCCTTTTTATGGCTGAATAGGATTCCATGGTGCAAAGGCAATATATACATACATACACACTGACATATCACATTTTCTTGATCCATTCATATGTCGGCGACACAGATTGTAAATATTATTGAATTTTACATTTTTAAGGGGTGAATTACATGCTATGTGAATTCTATCTCAATATAGCTCTTTAGAAAAGAAAGAAACATAAATAAAGGAAGGGTGGAGGAAGGAATGAAAGAAGGAATAAAGGGAGAAGGGGAGGGAGGGAGTAAAGAAAAACACAGAACAGTCCACATACTTGATACGATAAGGAGTGGATCTAGGAAGTCAAATCTTAGGAGCTTCCTGCCATTTTTTACAAAGGGATCCTGTGGGTTGTTGAGGGAATCAACGTTCACTCCAAATGATGTGCTGGTAATCACATCCATGCTGTAGGGTCCAAAGATGCTGAGTGCAGAAAGAAAGACATGGATGGCTCAAATTAGCACGACTTTCCCATCCTTTTCCAACATATGCAACAAGAAATGCATGAAAAATAAGATGCCCAGGCAAGGAGGTAAAGAACCACACTTTGAGAAACACCAGCTGGATCCTCTGAACAGTCTATGCCACTGTACCACTGGGTCATGAGGTGTATATGAGTTGCCAAAGACACAGCTGGCCCTGTGCTAGGGACGACTGGGACTCAGTCAAGTTAGACCCTCGGCTCAAGGAACTCGGTCATAGAGGGATGGACGCCCACAATCACACAAATTGCAGTAGCGTGTTTTGACTACGGGCAAAAGCAGGTGTATAAGCACTGCGTCTGAGCAGGACAAAGGATGGAATCACTAACTTCCTCAGGGAGCCAAGAAAAGGGACATTGATCAGGGACTCGCCTCAACCCAGATCTGTGCTCAGAGTGATCCCTGTTAAGCACGTCACAGAACAGCAGCACCCTGCTCTGAGTTGCCAGAAACATCACCCCGCCTTGGCGTGTACCCCGCTAAGGCTGCAGAGACCCGCTCTTCCTCAGCGCCGCTGATCTGCGGTTGCCCCGAGGGCAGAGTCATTTCTGTAAAATGTAAGGAGTAAAAATGTTTCTAGTTAAAAAATTAATAAATCACTCCAAAATTGACTTGAGAGATGTAGCAGCTAAGTGACCACATGTCCCCAGGTTTTCAGGGCAGGCCCAGTTTGCCTGCTGTTCCTGCCTCACGGACAAAACCCCAGTCTAGACGCTCAATCCCGCGGTCGCCCTGCCCATAACCTGCGCGGGGCCTCCTCTCCTTTGGGACTGAAGGAAGTAGCAGTCGTGGCGAGAGGTAATAGTTAGCAAGTTCAGGTGTTCTCAGCAACATTGTGAAGAGATGTAAGTTGTGCCAAGTTCCGGAGCGTGATGATTGCACCCCAGCCACGGCCCCCCAGTGCGTACCAAGGCCCTTCCCCCGCCATCATCCCCCAGCGTCCACACTCAAAATCGACATCATCGTGTTTCTTCTTTCTCTCCTGGCTGCCCTGCTCTTTTCGGGGATCCACCTCCTTCTGGGATGGCCCCTTGGCGTTAAACCACTGCAACCTGCTTCTGTCTGGTCAGTACGGTAACTCAGCAGTGGGAACGTCGGCGCCGTGGCAGGCAGCTGGAAGGTCTGCCCAGAGCCCGGAACACCGGCAGCTCTGCCCCTACTTACTCCTTCATGGTGACGGGCTTGCCTTTCTCTGCTTCCTTCCTCAGGTTTCTCAACAACACATCTCCGTACTGGCCAATGATGGGGAACATCTAGACACAAAATACAACAGCACCTGAGGTTAAACACAGAGACTCAAGTCCTAGAAAGATCAGGCTTTCCCATGAATGGAGCAGTAAGTGACATTTTATAACGAATCTTATAATGTTGCTTCCAGGGGGTGACGATGAAAGACAGTTTTAGATCAGCAGATCCCTCCTTGGAAAGGGACTGTGATCTCATTTTCTACCTTATTCTCTAAGTTTCTAATAGCAGGTCCTCTTCTTTCCTTACCTCCTTGAGCTTCCCACTGGTGAAGCTTGGCGACAGCAATATTCGTATTCTCTTCCACTGTTCATCCTCTGCCAGAGTAATGGCATTTTTCATAACTCCCACTGGACCAAAAATCTAGAGTTGAAAAAAACACATTTTACCCTGTATAAGTTTTGGAGATCTCCACATTTGTGGAAATTGTGTTAAATGTGCAGCAGTTATTCAGTAAGTATTTCGTGACTGCGTGCTTCGAAGCTGACCCTAAGGTAGATGGTCAGTAAATATTTATCCCAAATGCACAGCCTCCTTTGAGGAGACACCCAGCCACCTGATGTCCTTTCCAGACTTTCTAGTCCAATCTCCTTTTACATGCAGAAGACCCACGGGCAGGGAAACTGGTCTTCCAGGGGAATAAATGGGGTAGGTCTGAGCTCATCCTCCTGGGCTGTGCAAAGTACAAGGAAGGGGACTGGTGACAGGAGCCAGAGAGCCTTGGCAAAATGCATGCTGACCAAACAGGTTCTGCCTTTACATACATCTAAAGCCTGAGCCGCCGGGACAGGGGAGGTCTTGCTATGGTGATTGTTTAAAATAATAGTGCTTAGCACTTGAAACATTAGGGAACTATTTGCTAGTCTGAATAAATAATGATGTTACATGAAAAACAATTTCCGCTACATTTTTTGCCGAGAGTAAGAAGGAAAACCAATTTTTATTTCTGAGCTTGGGACTGGCCTATCAAACCAAACTGCTTGAAAATCTCCACAGCCTTCAAAATTACATTTTGTTTTAAAATGGATATCCCCAACACCCATTTCTGATAAAAACTCACAAAGAAGTAACAGAGGGAAACTGCTTTAATTTGATAAAGGACACTTAGCAAAAAAACCCGAAAAAACAAAAAACAACTACGGCAAACATGACACTTAATGATGAAATCCTGGGTTAACCTCATCGAGATGGCAGAGAAGGAGACTCCAGCCTCTGTTGCCCAACAAAGAAAAACAGTAAGACAGCTAGCAACGTAGAAAAATAGATCTAGGAAACCTTAGGAGTCACTTAAGAAGTTTCAGCAACTCAGTAGAGCCTAAACGTGTGAAAAACTGACAAAAAAGACATGGGGGAGGGTTCCACTCTGCCCGCATCAGCTCACCCCCAAGGCCAGCGCCGCTCAGCGCCGCGCGGGGCTCCCAGCCTGAGAGGGCGCTCCTCGCTGGGAGGAGGACAGCAGAGCGAGTGAGCACCTTCCCAGCCGCTGAGAACACTGCAAAAGTGATGTGCTTTGGTCTCACGCCACCCAGAGACTGGCAGAGCTGAGACATCTAGGAACAAGCAGGCGCTAAGAAGAAGGGCAGGGACTACCAGTGTCAACTACACGGCAGGAGCGGCTGTGGGGAGGGACAGTCTTCCCACAAATGGGGGAGGAACAGCTTAGACAGTTACACGCAAAAACCAAGAAACACAAAAGACCATGACCTAAACCTCCATGTTACACAAACAAAACAAAACAAAAAACCCCCACAAAATAGATTACAGGCTTAAAAGTAAAACATAAAACTATATGTTTAGGGGGGGAAAAAGGAGAAAAACTTCAGGATCTAGAGCTTGGTGAAGGTTTGGGAATTCATACCAAAGGCACAACCCATAAAAGAAAACAATGGTAGGTTTGCCTCATCAAAATAAAATAAAGTCTGCTCTGCTAAAAACCCGGGTAAGAGGAGAAGGGCAGGTACACACTGTGACCATAAACAACGGAGGGAGCCTTGCGGGGCTGGAACAATTCTGTGTTTGGATTGTGGTGGCACTTACACAGAGCTAAATCCATGGCAAATTTTCAGAGAGCGCACAGAGCGCACAGAAAACTGATTAAATTGGAATCGGCTCTGCGGATAGTGTCACAGTCTGCGTCCTGCTCTGCTGTGGTACGACATTCATTCACGATGTTACCACCGGGGGAAGCATGATGCAGGTATGTAACACGGGACCGCCCTGTAATTTTTTCTTTTGAGAACATTCTTTTGAGAATTTACAATTATTTCAAAATGAAAATTTAATAACGAATGAATGAATTAAAATTTTAAAAACACATGCCTACCCGTCGGTTTGTGAAGGTAGAATAGCATTCTTTCACTAACACTGTTTTGATCATGTCTGGATCAAGAATTGCCAGCACAGGCCGTCCACCATCATAAAACCTGCGTGCAGAAAACAGCTGATTAGATTGAACGAACTGGTTTGTGCAGCCGGGGCCACCCTGGAGTCCAGATGGTCATACCGCCGTTACATAACCCTTACTACTGGTATGATGGCTAGGGATACATTAACACTCCGGTTCGCTCTAGGACTGTGTGCAGGGGGATTCTACCACTCTTCATCATTTTTAAGGTTTTCAAATATTTCATTTTCAAAAACTAAGCTGGCTTAGTAAATCATTGAAGGCAAGTTAATTATGTGGAAACAAAC